GGGGTCCGGTCATGGGGCCTGAACTCTGGGCCTGGGCGCTGTCCCTCAGCTCTTCAGCTCAAGGCAAGCACTCTACCACTTAAGCCACAGCGCCACTTCTGGCTTTTATCCACGCTGAGGAATCGAACCCAGGGCCTCATGCATGCAAGGCAAGCGCTCTACCACTGAGGCACCTTCCCAGCCCACGAATAGGGAAACAGGACTACAAGTGTCATGGCAGGGTCTGAGTGGTGCATGTGTTTTTTTTGGGGGGGGGTGATGTGCTGTGTCCCCTAAAGATGAATTAGGCTGTGTGCCCTCATTGCTTCTGAAGCAATCCTTTCTTGGGTGTGTTACATTTTATATTTGTGGATGAGGCTTTGAGGAAATTTAAAAATAAAGTGTTTTGTTTTGTTTTGTTGATCATGAGGCTTGAACTCAGAGCCTAGGCACTGCCCGTGAGCTCTTTTGCTCAAGGCTAGCGCTCTACCACTTTGAGTGACAGCTCCACTTATGGTTTTTGAGAGGTTAATTGGAGATAAGAGTCTCATGGGGACTTTTCTGCCCTGGCTGGCTTCCAACCACGATCCTCAGATCTCAGCCTCCTGATTAGGTAGGACTTCAGGCATGAGCCATCACTGCCTGGCCGTCAATCCAAATTTTAAAGCATCCCACAAGATATTTCTGTTTGAATTTAAATTCTAGCCCACTTTTTTTGGGGGAAGTTATACTAGGCTGGTGGCAGCCAACTAGATGCTGTTATATTGTTTTATGAGTTAGATCAGAATGACTTTAACTAACAGTCTTAGGGTGAGCAGTATTCCTGCTCCTAGGATGCGTGCATCTCCATGCTGGAGATACTTCCTACGTTTCTCTGCTACAATTCTGGTTTAGGGTTTAAATGGAGATGTATTGCTTTCTGCTGAATTTCCGGTGCACATTGGAGCTGGTGAAATGACAACATTCTCAAACCAGCCTCAGAGGAAGAGTTGTTGAGTTCTTCCTTTTTTTTTTTTTAACCAATCACAGAATTACAGTTTCAAACCAGGCAGCAGGGCAGGCCCCGTGGATCTGTGTGAGCATGTCCGAAGCAAAATATTTAGAGGAGGAATTTGGACAGCAAGCCTGAAGGGATCGAACACATTTTTCTTCTGATAGAGTCCCCGTGTTTCTCTCCCTAATGGAGAAAGGTCATTAATGAATGATATTCGCTAAGCTAGCAAAGATTCTTAGAAATGCAATGGGCTTTTAAAAATCTCGATCTTAAGGTTGGAAACTGAAAGAATATGTGTAGAAGATTATATCTGTTCACTTAATTATATGTTTACTTAATATACATATCACGAATCCAGTTATTTGTAAGATTGTGCCTAATTTTTCGCCCATTTACACTTTGGAGAAATGAAAACTAGTTAGTTGATACTGAGAGTTTGCAACTGTTGTAGTTCTGTGTAAGATCTAGGAAGCGAAATAATCATGACAGCATGACAAGTCTTAGATCCAGCTTGACGGGTCCAGCTCCCAGATGAAGGGGGCGGGGCCAAGGCTGCTCACCTGAATGGTGAGCAACTCTCCCACATTTCTTACATTTTTTAATCTCCTAGTTGAAAAGCCACAGGGTATGTTTTGTTCTTGTACAGAATCCTTGTCTGTAGATAATAAAGTGGGTGTGGGGATGGGGAGGATGAGGAAAAAATGCAAACTATAGGTTTGAACTTCCCCCCTCCCCCATCCCTGTATTTTGAAAATGAGTATAGAAGAATGTTTATAAATATTGACATATGTTTGAAACTTTACATGTTAGACAATTTCTCTTTTACAGGCAAATACTTCATTTTGTAAGTTAGTCAATTTGACTCATGCAGATGTTGATTTGTGTCAGAGATTACAGACTGTTTTAGAAGCATTGCCTTTTTTTTTTTTGGTCCGGTCCTGGGGCCTGAACTCTGGGCCTGGGCGCTGTCCCTCAGCTCTTCAGCTCAAGGCTAGCGCTCTACCACTTGAGCCACAGCACTACTTCCGGCTTTTTTTCTTTTTGCTTATGTGGTGCTGAGGAATCGAACCCAGGGCCTCTGGCATGCAAGGCAAACACTCTACCACTGAGCCACCTTCCCAGCCCCTATTACCTTGTTTTTATAAACATTCCTCTGGGAGGAATCTACTTAATTCCGTCTCATTATATGTATGTGATAAATGGAGTGATCTTATTTATCATTTAATGAGGCATTCATTTGATAGGTACTCCTTTCTTTTTTCTCTCGACATAGTATTAGCTATTTTATCATGTTTCTGAAAAACATTAAATGCTTTGAAAAGACATAAAAGGATATAATAATTACTCCTTAGAATTTTCCTCACTTTTGTGATAAAAAGTTCTTTTGTTTATTTTCCTTTGTCTTTTGTGTGTGTGTGTGTGTGTGTGTGTGTGTGTGTGGTTGTAGTTTGACTTTGGCACTCTACTGCTGAGTTCCTTTTCTGCAGGTAGGGGATTGTGTTTTTGTTTGAGGCTGGCCTGGACTTGCAATCCTCCTATCTATGTTTCCCACATACCTGAGATTACAGGCATGTGCTGCCATACTTGTTGATAGCAAACATTCTTAGGAAACTATGGGAATTTAATACTTATGATCTTTCTGTTTTGTATTAATAGGACTAAAGAATAATGAATGAAGCAAGGTTTATAAACTTTAATCCTAAGGCAGCAGGACTAAGGGATTGGATTTTCAAAGTACCCCAACGCAGATGTTGAATAGTAAATTCATTTTTGTCTGGCTGATATAGCGCCATCTGCAGGTGATTGTGGATACAACCTTGTATAAAGCTGTATAAAGCTGGGCTATTCAGAGCATGTAACCAAGTCTTCTTGGTTAATAAATGGCTCATGTGTGGCATTGATCAGATTAGGTATCAAGGCTAAATAGGGGCTGTATTTTCTGGTAGGAAGGTCACCTCCTAATACCATTAGCATCAAGAATTTTCTTAGACAGCATTATTGTTTTTTCTATCAGTTGTTCCCATGTGTCTTGGAGTCAGTCTCCAATTACCTTTATGGATCTGTAAAAGCACACTAGTTTCTCAAGCTGCTGCTATATTTATTACAAGAACATCCTTTTAATTGCATACTCTTCTTCTTGAAGGGAGAATAGAACAGAGTTAGAACAAACTTGATGTCTTAGACAGCTTTCTGTCACAATAACTGAAGACCTGAGATGATTAACTTATAAGAGAAACAGTTTACTTGGACTTGCGCTTTTCAAGTTTCCAGTCTGTGTTTGATGGGCCCAAGGGCTTTGGGCCTCTGGTTTGGGGGTGGGTATCAGAGGGTAACAGAAGGAGATGAATGGTAGAGCCAGTTTCTGATGGTCAGGAAATGAAGAGAGAAAGTCTTAGAGGTGGGTAGTAATGGTGGTGGTGGCTTCCCATCATTCCCTTTGAGATTCCACCGTCGTGGCCACCTAAAGTTCTCCCAGCAGTTCTCACTGGTGCCAACCTAGGGCCTAAGCCTTTCTATTTCCACGCCCAAGGCGGTACCTCTGCAGTGAGAGCATGTTGTTAGGATTTTGTTTTCAGAGGCTGGAGCAGGCCGGCTATGGGTGGGAAGTGGAATAGGTAGATACACGGACAGACCCACAGTTTTCGGCTTGAATTCAAAATATTCCCAGATAGCTTTCAGAACGACTGGGAGGTTTTTTTTTTAACATGCTACTTTGTAGGCATTGAGCCAACCATGACTCTTGGGCTAGTTTTAGTGGAAAATTGAGGAGTGACTGAAGTGTGCATGATTGGAAGTAATAAGAAGGGAAAATGGACATTCGTTTATCTGCCTTGTTTACACGCACACTGTAATAATTATGAGCGAATCACCAGCTCCTCCTAGAGTGGCTTTCGTGTATCTTCAGTAACCTTGATCACACCACTGTAAGCTCTGTAATATTGATCTTCATTGTCCAGCTGGAAACATTACGATGATTTACCCCAGGTTACATTGTGAGTGGATTAGAGTGAGTGAGTGAGTGGATTAGAATGTGGTTGTTTGGCTAAGAAGGTTTGTTTTTTTTTTGTCTTTTCTTTTTTGGTACTGGGGATCGAACTCAGGACGTTGCACTTGCTAGGCAAGCGCTTTGCCACTGAGCTACATCCCAGCCCAAGGTTTTTTTTAAAATAAATTTATTATGCTACATGATTTCCTTATACAAGATTTAATCATGCTACCCAGTCTCAACAGTTGAGGGTTTTCTGCATGCTGTGGCTTATGTCTTTAATCCAAGACACTCAGGAGGCTGAGATCTGAGGACTGTAGTTTCAAGTCAACCCTGGCAGGAAAGTCCTTGAGACTATCATTTCCAATGAATCACCAAAATGCTGGAAGTAGTGCTGTGGCTCACATGGGCAGTGTACCAGCCTTGAGCAAAAAAGCTAAGGAGCAGCACCATGCCCTGAGTTCAAGCACCAGTACTGGCACAAAACAAAAACGAAACAAAACACCAACCAACCTCCCTCCAGAAAACCCCAAAACCAACAATTGCAACTTTCAATTTCAACTAAGCTGAAAATATCATTTCCCTGCCATAAAATGTTAGCAGCTCGGAATCATGACCTGTATCAGTCATCCTATGGAAATGGATTCCAGAGCTATGAACCTTACATTCATTTGCATTGTAGAAGGTGTGACCCCTGAAGGCCCAAACTCCTTAGTTTTTATCAGATACATTTGCCTGCTGTTTTTTTTTTTTTGTCTTTGAATATGCTGACATGTTTCTTATGCTTGAGATTTTCTGTCCAGTGAACTTGGTTTTATCCCATAGACCGGCCTTCATAGCTGGCTGTGGTAATGGCCTAGGCTCAGTGTGCATCTGCTCCGTCCCTGGGGAGTCAAAGGATCTGTTGTTAACTGTGAGTTACTGCTCTAACAAGCTCTACGAGTAGACTGTTTTTTAACCCTCCAGGATGTAGATAACCTGATTTAGTAACTTACTCATGGCTTATGTTTTTCTCCCCCCCCTTTTTTTTAATCTCTGCAGATGAACACAATGACGTGCAGAAGAAAACCTTTACCAAATGGATAAATGCTCGATTTTCAAAGGTAACTGAGACTTTCCAAAAGCTTGCTGGCGATTCACGCGTCTTTCTTCGGGCGTCTGATGAGAAGTGCGGTCCATTTTCCCTGTGCATCGTGACCTCACACGAATCTTCTGAGTGTGCAGATACATCCCTTCTTCTCTTCTAAAATCTCTTTAAATGGAACATCGAATCTGAACAGCTAGCCTGATTACTTTGACCTAGCATTTTTCAGATATCTTAAGCCACAACTGTGGTATTCCTACTCAGTGAATCGTGGGTGCTTCTAAGGAATGAATGCCACTGGGAAATTTTTATGTTCCCTTAGCTGAACAAGGTGGTGATTCCATTTTGAAATTTTTGTTTGGACTGTGCAATCATGCTTCCCACTCTTACTCTAGTGGGAGTGACTTACTAATGTTGATCTGCCTTGTGTGTTCTTTTGTTACCCCTCCCCCTTCTGTCCCCTACATTTCTAATCACTTGGAACATAATAGTGTTTTGATTAGTATTTTGTTTTGGGGTGAAACACAGTGAGTGAGCAATACTCTGTGCTCTTTTTCAAATGGGTTTCACATATGATTATCAGATCTACAAAAGTTGGAATTAGCCAGGTGCCAATGGCTCATATCTGTAATCCTAGCTACTGAGGAGGCTGAGATCTAAGGATGATGATTTGAAGCCAGCCCAGGCAGAAAAGTCCCCGTGAGACTCTTATCTCCAATTAACCACTCAAAAACTCGAAGTGGCAAGTGGTAGAGTTCTAGCCTTGAGCACGAAGAGACACAGGGACAGTGCCCAAGCGCTGAGTGCAAGTCTCACAACTGACCAAAAAAAAAAAAAGGTAAATAATAAAGTGGAATTTGGTTCACTGAGTCTAAGATGGGACAGAGCCTTCAGGTTTATCAGGACTGTACTATAGAAGGATGAAAAATTTGGATTTTTGGACAAACACCATTGCAGTCTTTGAAATACTATGAAAGCTATCTTACTTTGAAGTCATTTTTCAAAATTTTCTGTTCAAGGAAGTTGTCAAAGGTCAGGAAAATGACCTTTGACATTTCTTTCAGGAGAATTTAGGATAATTTAAGGTTACCTTCAGTAGCAGCCCAGTTCAAAACTGGACTCTAAGTTGGTGATATTAGTGCATCCTTGGAGTCCTAGCTACTGAGGAAGTTCAGAGGAGGTTTGCTTGAACCCAGGAGTTCGAAGCTAGCCTGGGCAAAAAACATCCAGACACCATCTCTTAAAGTGAAAAAGGACCTTGCTCTGCATCTGAGTATTTATAGCTGATTACTTAATGGTAGTGGTTTTTCTTTTTCTATTTTCTTCCTTTTTTAGGGTTTACAGGCTTTGTGAGGGATAGTTTACTGTATGGCTGAGAATGGGAAAGGGAATCTAGCAGGGATGTGACAACCGATGTTGACAGAAGAGTTAAGTCCGTGGAGATGAACAAGAATAGAGATGCTTCCTACTTAGTGATTTGATGTGTCGGATTATTCCAAAGCAGTAGTTGGAAGTTTTTGGCAAATGGTAACAGTTGTTTTATTCTGTCATCTGTGCCGTAGACTTCACAGTCTTCTGAACTTTCGGATCTGCACGTGACCATCCTCCTGTGCCACATAGTTTTCGTAATGGAGTCTAGATGTGAGGAGTGTAATCCCGGAGTCTGCTGAGTGCCACGTGGACAGGATTATCCATGCCTGTTAGGACCAAGAATGTCACGGTCATTTTTTAGCTTAAACCAGTGAAGCAGTTATATATAAAATAAAAGAAAAAACATATATTTTCCCCCACAGTGTAGTTAATTTATTAGAGAAGAATTGCCTTACAAATAATTTTGAAGGTCATTTTGCCAACATTATGGCCTTGGAGGGTCTAAGGCGAGGGGTGAGCTGGCTGTATGTCTCATTTTGAGAGCAGAGTGTAGAAAGCCAATAGTTCAGGAAAACATGAAGTGGGGGTGGTGGGGCTGGGGGGGGTGAATGATACAGATGCCAGCTGAGAAAAAAGAGTGAACAATCAATTTTGGCCATTTTCAAGCGTGTTGTTGACATCTTCAAAGGAGACCCAAATACCACAGATTCCAGAGTCCTCGCAGTCATGGATTAAAGGAACTGGACCTGCGCATGCACACGCGCGCGCGCACGCGGGCAGTTATCCTATCTGAATTCTTTTGTTCTATAAATGGGGGCTTTCATCGCCTGTCAGTTGTCTGTCTCAGAGAAGTTCGGAAATTTTGCAAAGAGGAGATCCGAAAGGGCTTGGTAATATTTATCACATTTAGTAAATAAATGTTGTAGTTTTATAATCTCATATTTGGAGAAAAAATTTCAAAAGTGGGATCAAAGTCGGGCAGGAGTTTATATAAGAATGTATGAAAATGCCGATTCAAAGAGAGGATGGAAGGCTCGTCAGTGATTCCAGTATCTACCTTCTTTTCCTTTCTTCTTCCCTAGTAAGGCCCTTTCCCCCCTCCCCAGGCAGGAGGGGCCTAGCCCAGTAGGAGAGGGGAGATTTCAGTGGGCTTTCATTCTGCTTAACACTTGCTTAATTGGGCAAGATTGTCTTCTTTGCATGGCCTTAAGTGGGAATCTAGAGATTAGCACAGAAAAAAAAATCCCACAGAAGGGGATTTTATTTCACCTCTTTTTAAAAAATCTATGTCCTGTGGTACATTATGGTTCACTTTAAAATGCAGTTGTTCAGAGGGTCCTATGGTGTGCATCTCTGTGCTGAGAAATCCAGCTGGACAAGTTTGTTTAAAACATATCTCTCTAGACATTGGCTTTGTTCTCCTCATCTGAAGTCTTGAACGCCATGTCTTGTATGTCCAGTGTCACATAGGTTCCACTTTGTGCTCTCTCCATTTTTGTCCTGCTTTCCACTTTTCTCTTGATCTGTGTGGGAAAAATTTAAGATAAGTGAATGACCTACCTGTCTCAGCCTTTTGACTTATCCATGTCTTTCAGTATTTTTGAGCTATTTTATAACAACATGTTGCAGAAAATAGTTAATTATGCAAATAAGGTTTACTCAGTCAAGTGGGAATTAGTTGGAATGCGATTGGATATTGAATTGGATAGACAAGTTTTTGTATCTTTTGTGATTTTATTTTCAGTTGTACATTTTTAAAAAAATTATTTTATTTTTTGCATGCAAAATGCATCTTCAGGTCTCCCTCCGTCATACATGAATTAGAAAAAGCCTTTGACACGGACGGATAACTTCACTTGTCTGAGAGCAAGCCCTTTGCCTTTGGGGAAAGTTATCGTTGAATATGTCCAATACTGTAGTCATCTGCTAAATAGCTCTTCCTTCCTGTGTTTCACCTTCTCTGTTTCTGCTTTCTATTTTTTTTAATTAATTAATTTATTTTTTATTTGTGAACATACTGTACAGAGGGGTTACAATTACATGGGCAGAATAAAAGGTTTTTTTTGGGGGGGGGTCTGGTCTTGGGGCCTGAACTCTGGGCCTGGGCGCTGTCCCTCAGCTCTTCAGCTCAAGGCCAGCGCTCTATCACTTGAGCCACAGCGCCACTTCCGGCTTTTTTCTTTTTGCTTATGTGGTGCTGAGGAATCGAACCCAGGGCCTCAGGCATGCAAGGCAAGCGCTCTACCACTGAGCCACTTTCCCAGCCCTCTGCTTTCTATTTCTGACAGAGTAGCCAGGCTGCTCTCAAAGGGCAAGTCCAAGTACTTCTTTACCTTCTGTATGGTCTTTCATTAGCTGTCTATTGTCTTTCTAAACTTCCTTTTTGATGGAAGCGTTTTATACTTCAGATGTACAGAGTGCTACTTTGATCATCATTGGCTTCCAAACCTCTCTTCAGTCACACGTTACCTATGTGTTATTCTATTTCAATTTGTTTTTATTCCCTCATTGTCTTGTAGCCACGGTGTACATTTCCTCAGCTAGCCTTGGTGTATGCTTCTTCCTCCATCTTTCTCTGTAAAACCCCTCCCAGCCTTCCCGCCTCCCTTCCTCCTCCCTCCTTTTACTAATACTGGGGCTTGAACTTAGAGCCTTGCTCTCTTATTTAGCTCTTTTGCTTATGGCTGGTGCTCTTCTGTTTGAGCTACTTCTCCATTTCCAGGTTTTTACTGGTGAATTAGAGATACGAGTCTCCCAGATTTGTCTGCCCAGACTGGTTTTGAACTTCTGTCCTTAGATCTCAGTTTCTTGAGTAGCTGGGATTATAGGTATGAGCTACCAGCCTCTGGATGATCTACCTACATTTTAAGACAGAAATGGGAAAAGATACCTGCACATGAGACCCACTTTGTATCACAGTACAGTGTGTGAAACCTGAGTGCTTTGAACCCTGTGATTTCAGAGCCTGTCACTTGGAAGCAGTGGGCCTCCCTCGTGAAGGCCTCATCGCTTTGCTGTTGGGAAATTTGTTGTGACTTTGAGCCTGCATGTTCACTGGCCAGCTTTCAGGGCTGCTCATCTGGCTGCTCTGAGAGTTGTACAAATTGAAGACACTTTTTTTTTTAATTAGGCAATTATCAAAAGAGGTTTAACAAATAAAGGCTTGGGAGGGAATATGCAAATTTCTGCTTTTCCCTTTTTGAAGACTAAGAAGAGCCAAGTTTTCATATGCTATGATTCGTAACTTGCCATTTAAAATTGATAGAACGTAAGACAGGCCATCTGTGAATCACTTTCCATGAATTTCAGTATGAAGAGCGATTCAGGAGGGTTCCTCTTGGGCACAGTGAGGTACCACTGTTAGTGTCCTACTTGAAAGTTGGTATTCAGAGTCATCAAAGTAGGAATGGAAGGAGATTTATGGAGAGCATGATCAAAACACTTGTGGGTTCAATCTTCCCATTAGGATGGTGATAGAGATGTCACCCTTCTTTGCAGGATGATAAATGTCATGTCTTGGAGTTTGAATTGACAATTTTATATTGGTTCTGTCACTGGCTTATTTCATAATTATGAAAATAAAAGGGTAGCTCAAGCAGAACTCACACCCATTCAAATGGCTTCTTCAAAAGAAATCTCAGTATGTCT